TTCCATTTACTCAGCTTCTTAATGAGGTTTGTTGTTCATTCCTCCTGTTTTTAGGGCTGAATTAGAATCATTTTTTCTTCTTTTTGAGTCTCTTTGATCACAGGCTGTATAAAGTGAAGTAAAAACGTCTTTCTTCTCTGTTCCAGTAAATATTAAAGACAACCCAAACCTTATCTATGTGGTGTAGAAAGAGCAGGAGGTCTTCTGCTGCAGATAAAAGCTGCTGGACGGCTGGGAAACCACCCAGATAGTCCAGCCTGTCTTTATCAGCCCCAGCAGGAGGACCCCTCACACCCTAAAGCAGATCCCACACCCTGAGCAGGAGTTAGGAGGCCCAGCCTGACCCTCTGGGCTACATGTAGAATTACCCAAATAAAAAAAACGGATTTGGTCAGAACTGTGCAGCTTTGATAAATGAAAATGACCTTATAGGAGTGCATTAAGACATGAGAATAGGGAGGATATTTTCATATTAATGAGCTGGTTTCAGAGGAGGAGCATTCATCATTACTGCTTTGAAAAGTCACTACACCTGGACAAAGCCTGCTCCGATTGTGTTAATAAATCACCCAAAGCTGTTTGTTTGTAGCTCAACCAGCTTCCAGCGGCCTGTTTACAACCGGGAGGCTGTCAGTTTACGTTGGTAAAGCTGAAAAACTTCAAGTCTGACTCGATTCCTCCCAAAAAAAAAGCCTATTTTTAAGCACATCTGGACAAGCTGTCAGGGATTAAAGACAAAACGCAGCAGGGAAAGCACTCCATCACAGCTTTGCAGCGATTGGATGCTGTGAACGTGACGAGAACACGTCCTCCATGTCTGAAATAAAGGACAACGAGTGGCTGAAGCAAGTCAGATATAAAGAAATAAATCCAAAACAGTGAAAAGACACATGCAGCCATGCTCAAGAGTCAAAGGACATAACAGGACAGAAAAATGAGAAAAGTATGGTTAAGTTCAGCGTCTAGTGAAGGGATCCTACTGCTAACATTAATTCACACCTAAAATCATAATAATGACCGACATACACTGATGCATAACCTGGAAATAAAAGGAGAAATTCAAATTTATTTTTGCAAAGTTTTCGTATAATTAAGAGCTTCAGTTTTTGGTGAAGCATGATGGTGGCAGCGTCATGGTGTGGGCTTGTTCTGCGGAAGCTGCTCAGATTTAACAGGAAATTAAATGAAGCCAAACGTTGACTAATCCTGGAAGAAAAACCTGCTGCATTGGGCGGCTGCAGGTTTGTTTGTTTTTGACTGTGGACTGAAAAGTTTCTGTTCTTCTCTGCTTTAGATCAGATTGGATGGTGCATATTAACTATCATATCCTGTCAAACATTCTCATTTTGGTGAATACTAAAAAATGAAGTAATTTTGTTTTTGTTTTTTCAACAGTAGGCTGACAGGAAAGTGGGTATGAAAGAGGGGGGGAGAAAGGCAGCAAAGGACCACAGGTGGGATTCAAACCCGGGTCAGCTGTGTCGAGGTCCACGGCCTCCATACATGGCTCGTGCACGTCAACCACTGCGCCGCCTGCACGCTCAAAATGAAGTCAGGTTTAACAATGAAATGCAACCTTTAAATTATATATATAACTTTATATTATATAGGGGAGACCGGGTATGATTGTAACATAGGGAGAGTTGTAACACCATCAGTTCCAGCAATCAGGGATAACATAGGAGTCACATGATCATTTCAGTGTTTATCCGCTTCCTCCCTTATCCCAAATTGTGATTGTCAAGGCTGGAAACAGGAACATGCAGATACTAAGGAGAAAAAACACATTTTGAGGTAAGAAAATAAATCTTTTGAACAAGAATATATTTTGTTTAGTACTTATACTGTTGCAAATAAAACCGTGTTACTTACATTAGATGAACGACTAATTTCTCAGGCAAAATGTGATGCATTTTAAAAAATGTGATGCTAATTTTAAACCGCTATGCTACTACAGCTAGCTAAACATGGCTGACAGGGTTGGGGTGGGTTTTAACACGTCTTTAAAAAGTGTTACAACCATCCCCTTACATACAACTAAGAACATTTTGATTTGAATAATTTTACAGAATGCCTAGGCAGTGCATACGAAAGACTGATAGAGGTTTATCTGCAGATGTTTTAAAAAAGTTATCTGATGAGGTCACAAAGAAGAGCAAGTCAATCAGATCAGCTGCGAAGGTGGATGGGATCTGCCATGCAACACTGAGCAGATACTGCAAATCACTGCAGGAGAGAACAGGGATCCAGTGATCTTCCCAGTGTAGGTTATTGGAGCAGCAACACATTGAAAAACCAATGTGTTAGACCTACATGTTTGTTCAGTGTTTATTAAGCATATTTATACATGTTAAGGAAGTTTGTTCTAGTAGAATAATTGACACACATGCACACACACACAGAGTATATTTGAGTTATGGTCAGTCAGAGAGAGAGACGTCGTTCTTGTATTGTTCTTTTAATTCATTAAACCTCTTTTTGAAGCATATCACATGGTGTGGCCTCTGTTTTTGCTTCTTTTGTCCAATTGTTACAACTCACCCCAGCAGGTGAGGAACACCATGTATTTGACATGAACTCATGAAGTCTGTGATATTCTTGCAGAGGTTTGAATTGGTGCCATTTGTAGTAAACTAATGTGGGTTTTTTGTGTAAAAGTTTGAACACTCTAGCTGAAATACTCTGTGAGTTAAAGGTGCTGGAGCAAAAAGTGTCACAACCATACCTGGTCTCCCCTACTTTATTCAGCCATGTGTTTACATCACTGCTCCTTACCTTTATTAAGGCTGCACTTTAAAAATGAAATAGTCTAGAGAGCTGTACTTAAAGGAATAGTACACCCAAAACATGATTAGCCTTCATTTTCTACTCACCCCCATGCTGAACAACACTCTGAAGTACTTTTTGATATCTGAAATGCATCTGGAGATCTGGGAGGCTTCTTGCTGTCTGCTGACATTCAAATAATGGAGGTCTATGG